TCTCAGTAAATATGTGGCTTTATTTTTATCCAATTTGGTTAAGTGAGTGATAAGATATTAATCCATTTTTAAAAAAACAGGGAAAATAAAAAAAATATCTGGAAACTTTGGAACGCGATATCTCGCGAACCACAGAACCAATTCGAATGAAAATACCACCATTCGATTCGCCAAGACTAGACGAATCGAATGGTGATATTTTCGTCTGGATTGGTTCTGTGGTTCGCGAGATATTGCGTTCCAAAGTTTCCAGATATTTTTTTATTTTCCCTGTTTTTTTCATTTTTAAGCAGATTTTTATCAGATTTTAATCCAGAAATTTGTTAACAAAACCCATGATTTTCCAGAATTAAAAAACTGGATTTTTTCCTGATTTTTGATTTTTATTTTTTTTATAGGAAGAGAAATTTGAATTAACTAATGGATTAACTAACGAAAAACTGAAAGAAACAGAAGATAATAAAGATTATCAATTCAATATTACCTTTATCAAATCAAAAAAGTCTCCAAAATTCCAAGAAGAAGAAATGGAAAATGTCCTACCAGATTTATCTGATAACTAAAATCAGAAAGCATAATAATATCTGATTATAATACAAAAGAACTCTTTCAATTATTTCTTAGTCCTTCAAGCATTACCAAAAGTCAAGTTACTGAACTATCTGCCGAAGAATGAGACTATCAGAAAAGAAAAAAGAAAATTAAAGAAGGATTGAATAAGGAATTCAATGAATGAAATATATTAGTCACACAATTAATAATCATTCTTGAACTTCCATTAAGTTCAAAATGATTCAGAAAGATTAAGATATCCACTATACTGTTGTATAATGGAATTTCACATTAATTATTAGTCAAAATTATCATTTAATCTTATTGAATAATTTTGAAAACACATGTTTATATTTAATTAGTTAAGATCTTCTTATTTATATTTCATATTACATTATTATTTGTATTATTATTTATATTATTATTTGTATCACATTTATATTATTATTTACAAATAATATGTAGATCATTTATTTAGGTTATACTAGATGATTTATATTTATATTTATATTGGATCACAAGATTAGTAATCAAGCGAGTGACCAAGCAAGTGAACAAGCGAGTGAACAAGTGAGCAAGTAAGCGAGTAAGCGAACAAGCGAGCAAGCAAGCAAGCAAGTGAACAAGCGAGCAAGCAATTTTCTTGTGAATATCATTGATAGTTTTGATTTAACAATTTTGTATAAAAGAAGCATATATTTTAGCTTAAAAAAATCAGTCAATAATTTAATAACTCAGTCAATAAGTTAATAATTCAATAATTTAATTAATAAGTTAATTAATTAACAAGTCAATTAGTTAATTAGTTAAGTTCTAAATATTATTGACTCAAAAATAAACTCCTTTGATAATAATATCCTTTTGAAAATAACACATTTAGAATGTTTAAATATTTCTTTTATTATTTTATTATTTAAATTTTTAAAGTTTTATTTTAGTTTTGTTATAACCTCTCATATTCTTGTAATCTTATGTTTATAACCTCTTACATGTTGTAATGTTATATTGATGACCTCTTACATGTTTGTAATGTCATATTTATAGTTTGAACCTCTCACACATTGTGATATCATATTGTTAGAATAATTTAATAAATTGAATTTATAATATTTTACTTGTCTATAAACCATCGTCGTAATTATTAAATACATATTAATTTATAAGAAGATTTCTTAAGTCACTTTTTGCTGACTAGTAATTTATTGAATACACGTTACCAATCTTTAGTTATTTATCTTATCTCTCCCACCTGACTTGAAACACGTGTTGAGCACGTAAAAAGATATAATATATTTGAAATCCAAGTAAAATGATGACAGTAGTAAAAATTTTATTTAATTTGATTCACTAAATGTGAAGTTATTTGCATTTTTGTAAAATAATATTTTTTTACATAAATTTTGATTTGATATTAAATTTTATTTTATATATATTTATATATATTTTTTGAACTAATTATTGAAATCACTTAAAATTTTGATA